ATTTTATAAAAAGCCAGGGGGAGGGGGAAAAAAAACGAGGCGTGTCTCCTCTCAAGACCCCTAGAAATGTCCCAATACCGCTATAGTCCTCAACTTAGAAACTCGGTCCAAACTTTACGTGGCCGAGCGAAACTTATTGGGTTAAGGGAGTGAAGTGCTCCGTTTTACAACCTTTCTGGCTGCCATTGCTAAGTCAATCCCTGCAGTTGATAAGTGAATCACTCGGTCGTTAAGTGAATCGGGCTTCCCCACTGTCTTGGCATGTCAGGACTCCCAAGTGTGTGTGTGTGGGGTGGGGGGGAAATCACGTCTCCCCAGAAGATTGCCAAGCCTCTGAATTTTGATCACGTGACTGTGGGGACCACAACAACGGTTGTGTTGTGGTCCGCCGGCAGCCTGCGGAGCCGGCAGTAGAGTGGGGAGGAACGTGGGCCAGTCCTGGAGTCTGGGGAGGGCTCAGACAAGGGTCCTGCGTCCAACACAGAGTTGGAGCCAGGGCCATCTGGGAGTTATGTGCTGACTCGGGAGCCTCCAGAATCTGACAGCAGCGAGGAAGAGGAACAGTGGGAGCCTGTTCCCAGTGTGCACTTGCAGAGCTGCCAGAAGGCAAGAACAGTTAAGACAAAAGGGGCGACTCAGGAGGAAGGCTTGGAGATGATTGGCCCCTCCCATAAGACATAAAGGAGGAGCCAAGGGACAGGAGCCTTTGCAGGAAGCAACTTTTGTTCTGGTCGGTTTAATCTCTTGAAGCTCCATGTTGACTTTGTGGTCCATTTGGCCTCGTACAGCTAATTGGCAATTTAATGGTTGGCAGCATTTCAAGGGAGATAAAGGTGGGTGCTTATCAGCCTTATCCTGAAGGACCTGTGGGACTATTCACACACTGTTCGGGACTTATTATGGGCTGTGATTATGACTATAATTCACAGCCGTTGAAATAAAAAGAGGGTTTTAGGGACTAGACAGGAAGCCTTGGTCAGAACAGGTTGTGTGAAAAACGGTCGTTCCCCTTCTCCAGTGTGGTAACTTTGGACGGCCACTAAATGAACAGTTGTAAGTCGAGGACTATCTGTATTTTAAAAAGGCAAGCAGGGAGTCAGAGAACCGAGTGACAGCTGGATTATTGTGAATACGCCGCTCAGCACAATATTCGGCTTCCATAGAGGCCGACACACCGACAACCCTCGGATTTGGGGAACGGAGGGGCGGGGGCATCTTTGAAAAGGACCATGCAGATACTCCTCGCCTTACGACAACGGAGCCCAAACCTTCTGTTGCTAAGCGAGACATTTCTGAAGGGAGCTCGGTCTCATTTTACAGCCTGCCTGGGTCCCGTCGTTCAGTGAGTCATTGAATCGGTAAGTTTTGTTAAGCGAAGAAGGCTGCAAAAGGGGACCACATGACCCCCCCCCCCCCCCCCCCCATACCACCCCAAATACGCGTCAATGGGCGAGGGGCCAGATTTTGGTCACGAGACATGGGAGTCTTTGTGGAAAAACGGCTAAAAGTCATTTTTTTTAGGGTTCCTGTGGCTCTGAAAGGTCACTAAATGAATCGTCGTAAGTCAAGGACTGTGTTCAAGTCCTCGGAGGGCTATCGTGCTGGAGGGGTGAAAATGGAAAAATATTCAGCGCCTCCTTGGCAGTTTCTGCTCGCAGGGCTCCGAGGTTAGAACCATCTTTCCCAATAATAATAATAATAATACTAATAATAATAATTTGTTCATTTCAGAATGTCTTTTAAGGCTTATCTTTTCTTCTTCCTTCGCTTCCACGGACGGCATCTCCACGAGGCAAGTGGATAGAATTAATTAAATTCTATTAATAAATAGAAAGGACGCTGGGGAATCGATGCAGTACAAAAATCTCATTTTTAGGGGGGGCCCCGACACGAGCTGCCCAGCCCCCTAAATGTTTGGAGGCATCGTTTCCCGCGGGAGAAATCTCCCCAAAAGCTAAACGGAAGTTTCGTACAGAGTTTTCCATCTTGGGTGGCCGTTCCTGCCCTGCCCAAATCTTTCTCCCTGCAAACCCCCCCTCCAAAAACCCCCCCCTGCTTTTCACCCCCGCCGGTAAATGGCAGAATGCATAGCTACCCTTTGGAATTTTGGGGGGGAACCCCCCCCCCAAAAAAACGAAGGCTTTAAACCCAAATCAAAGGCCAGGCCAAGCGAAGAACAGATGCATCGAAAGGTAGTTTAATACTGGTTAAGAATATGCTCTTGAATCGGGGAGGTTAGGAAATGGGCCAAGTTGCACTTCCCAGCACAGAAAGGCCTAAAGAATATGGACTTCAATTCCCAGAATGCCCCAGACAGCAAACTGGCTGAGGAATTCTGGGAGTTGGGAGTCTATTCATGCTGGCTGGGGCATTCTGGGAGCTTGTTCATTCATGCTGGCTTGGACATTCTTGGCCAGTTTAACATGTGGACTTCAACTCCCCTCATGCCCCAGCCAGCATGAAGGAAGGACTTCCAACTTCCGAAAACCTCAGCCAGTTTGGGTGGACTTCAACTCCCAGAATTCACGCTGGATGGGGCATGCTGGGAATTGAAGTCCATTCACGCTGGCCGGGGAATTCTGGGAGTTGAAGTCCACCCAGTTGAGAACCTTGCCCAGTTTAAATGTGGTCCAACTCCCAGCATGCCCCAGACAGCTTGCATGGACTTCAACTCCCAGAATTCATTGCTGGCTGTGGAATTCAGGGAGTCGAAGTCCACACAAAGTTGTGAAGCACGGCCCGTTTTAAGATGCGGCCTCCAACTCCCAGCATGCCCCCAGCCAGCATGGGTGGACTCCAACTCCCAGCATGCCCCTGGCCAGCATGAAGGAGTTCCAATTCCCAAATACCTTGGCCAGGTTGGGTGGACTTCAACTCCCAGAATGCCCCAGACAGCAAACTGGCTGAGGAATTCTGGGAGTTGGGAGTCTATTCATGCTGGCTGGGGAATTCTGGGAGCTTGTTCATTCATGGTAGCTTGGACATTCTTGGCCAGTTTAACATGTGGACTTCAACTCCCATCATGCCCCAGCCAGCATGAAGGAAGGACTTCCAACTTCCGAAAACCTCAGCCAGTTTGGGTGGACTTCAACTCCCAGAATTCCATGCTGGGAAGGGAATTCAGGGAGTCAAAGGTCACCCATGCTGGCTGAGGAATTCTGGGATTTGGTGCACGGGGCATTCTGGGGGTCAAAGTCCACACAAAGTTGAGAGCCTTGGCCCGTTTTAAGATGCGACCTTCAACTCCCAGCATGCCCCAGACAGTACAAATAGACTCCCAACTCCCAGAATTCCCCATACCAGCCTGGGTGGACTACAATTCCCAGAATTCACGCTGGCTGGGCCAAGGGGGCTTTGGAAATGCAACCTGGTTCCAGAGATCACGTGATTCTAACTATCCTTAAAGGGAAAAAAAACAAACTTTATATATATATATATATATTTTCCTCTATTTTCCCAGGATGGTTTCAAGTGGAGTCAACAACAGCTTCAAAAGCCCACCTGGGCAGCCAAAGTTGCCCCTTTGGAAGTGCTTGAAAAAAAAAAAAAACACCTTCACCCCCCTTTTTGGAAGAACGGCCGGGAAACAAACCCCCCCACTCAAAACTCCTCCAAAACTCCCAGCCCCACTTTAAAAAAAAAATAATCCTTGGATTTGACCGAGCCACAAAACGCAACCTGGTTTGTTTTTTTTCTCAGATGCCGGAAAACTTCTCAAGGTACCCGAGAGAGGGACCGACACAACCCTGTCGGGGTGGGGTGAGGGGAACCCCCAAATACTGGAAGTCATTGAGGCGGACTCCGCAACCACCCCCCACCACCCCGCGTCTTGCAAAAAGAGGTGGGTGTGTAATATAATCTGGGCGCGCCACAAAATAAACCGAGATGGGATCCTGGCTTCGCGGCTTCCATTCGTTTTAACCTGGTTGTTGGGAGGCCTCGTCGTACACACTGGTGAGAAACCAGATTTAAGGGCGCTGTCGGTTGCGTGGCTCCGCCTGCCTGCCCCAAAGCGGATTTGTGCGTTGTGATACGGCGACAACACAACCGTCACAACTAAGGGCTGGTGGGGATGGAAAGCCAAGGGGGGGAGAAATAAGGGGAGAAATACCCCAACCGGGCAGCCCAAGGGTCTTTCTCGCCCATGGAAGTCAGCCAGGACTCCAACCAAGCCAAGCGCCCCTTTCGCTCCTCTCCAGATTTAACCGTATAAGATTTAAATACGGGTAGTCCTCGACTTACGAACCACAAGGGAGCCCCCGATTTATGCGGGTAGGGGAGACGGTTGTTAAGGGAATGGTTTTGCTCCGTTTTGCGACCTTTCTAGCTAAGGGAAGCGTGACCAGTGTTAAGTTAGCAACACAGTCGTAAAAGTGAATGTGGCTTCCCCCATGGAGCTCGCAAAAGGGGGATTGCAGGAAGCTGCGACCGTCATAAATAGGAGTCAGCCGTGAAGCCTCTGAATTCTGATCACGTGACCATGGGGACGGTGCAAAAGTCGTTACATGTGAAAAACAGTCGTAAAGTCACTTTTTTTTGGGGGGGGGTGATGTAACTTTGAACGGTTACGAAATGAACTGTTGTAAGTCGAGGACTACCTGTATTGATAGATTCAAATATATATATATATATTTATTGCAGATCCACCATTCTGCCTCTGGGCCCTTCCAGCCACGCGGAGCTGCTCCTAAAATTACAAGCACCGCTTGTAGCGTCGGTTCAACCCCCGTTATTTGTAACCTGCTCAGATCCCGAGGCAGAGAGAACCGGATCGGCACCCCGGATCCGACTCCCGAACGAGAACAGACGAAGGGGTCTTCGCTGTGAGCGAGATGTATGATCCCGGAGTCAGCGTGGGGGGGGGGGGGGGGGGGGGGGGGGGGGGGGGGGGGGG